ATTCAAGATACAGTGATGAAGTATGATATACCAAACACTCGTAAAGCCATGTACTTCAGTGCGTATAGTTAGGGTAGGTAATGTATTTCCCAATACTTGGCTTGGCTTTGGGGGAAGACCGAAAGGAACTGAGTGGGATGCTTTCAGTTGGATTCTTTCAAAAGCTAACCGTCTCTTACTAGTTTCTCCAACGTTACCTACCCTAGCTTGATACAACAAATTGATAGTTGGTGATTAAATGTGTTGGGACATTGGGGTCGCCTGTAGCTTTTGGTCTGAGTCCAGCACTCTTGTCCTCAGTTGGAACTGTGCATACTTTATCAGCAAGTATTACAGACTGAAGCTTTTGCTAATTATCAGTCAACACTCACTATTCTTCAAGGTTGGTTTGGTGTGTCATTGCCCTAAGGGATTCAACAAGCTTTGATTGGAAATGCCACTTATAAACCTCCATTACTTCGAGACAAGGTTAAATCAAAACAACCTTTCCATTGTGCCTTAATTTCTCAAATTGCAATTGGCAAAGGGTTAAAAGTGAAATAACGGCTTCCTCTTATTGTGAAAATCACTACCTTGGTGAATCAAGTTAGCACAACTAACCCTGTGTCCCACTGTGAATATACAATAATGCTATGTGTCCTGTTCTTCGTGTTGATTTATGATCATATAGGCCTAGGCACAAATCCCTAAGCATACACACACAAATACCAAAACACACCCTAAAAACCCCACCTTTACCAAACATGTCTTGGCGAATACTTGGAAATTTGTGTCTGTTGGACTGATTCAAATGGTAGACAATCATAGACTATCGTACCTGAGAGTTGAAGACAAAGTATTTGGGCGTGCACATCTCCTCATCGTCAGGGTGGGGCTCGAAGTGGATGCCGGTGGAGTGATGAGTGTCGTGGCTGCCGAGGACTGCGGGGGAAATGTCGGCGCGGGAGAAATCCATGTTCACCGTGCTGTTCACTGGCGGGTACAACCCTGACATGGCTGAGGCGTTCATGCTGAGGTTGGATGAGTGGTGGTAAAAGAAAGGAAGAGGGCAGGGCAGCACGGTCTTCTTGTAGATCACCTGGAAAAAACCAATATGAAGTCACGTTGAATACATAAAATAAATGAAACAAGAGAAGAATTAATGAAGAAAATCCACTACCAAACTCCCTGCTTGCTACAGGAGTTCGCACTGTGGCAGTTCTCCAATTCCTTGTTCTACATTAAATACTGTACAAGTGAACTGCAGTTAAACGTTTCTAAACAGGGCCCTCAGACAGTGTAATACACCCTGTAGTGGCTGTCTTGGAGGTCATAAACTCTGAGGTGACGGGAGGACGGGGTTAAGTGTCAGGTCATTAGTCAGCTAATTAACAAGTTAACAGTTTGGTTAGCTAAGCATCACTGCTATGTTGTTTAAACTGCATTAACTAATATTTGTGGTAAATTAGGGGCAGCAGAAACAAGCTGTAAACACAACATGACATATTATCAACTTTATACTTTGATATGATAAATGCGTAAGCTAAAAGTTGGTCATGAATATCAAAAAGACATGGAACCACATTATTCATTTGGAATCTTGTTTCTGGCCAAATTCACTTTCCATTAACCTCTGTTTTGGGAAAACTCCTGAGGGAAATATTTGGCTCTTTAGCTGCCGAATCTCCATAATTCACTAGCTAGCCGTTAACTTTGTCTGCATACTACTTGATGGTTGGTAGGTAGCATGAGGTGTTTTTTTGTTGTTGCATACAGTCACTTTTTACTAAATAAACCTTTTAAAAAAGCTGCCTGCTGTGCCTCGATAGTGCTGACGCAGGCTGTAAAACCAAAATGTGACGTAAATAATCTAAAAACCTTTGTAGCTTTGGGGGGAAACTGCAGAGTTAGCTAATGATTGTCTGTGGTTTCGTCACCATGAGCTACCCCATTAACTCACACGTAGTCAATTGATCTTTTCTTAAAACAAAAATATTGATTGTAACAGCATCTATCTCAGACAGCAGCTGGCGTGCCTTTAGAGATATTAAGGTGCCCATCTGTATGCCTGAATACCACATTTATATTTGTTTTTCAGAAGCTGTACTTACCACCCCCAGAAAGAAAACCATGCAGGAGAGGGAAAACCCGCTGGTGTAGCCCAGGTAGCCTTAAGAGGAGACATTTTCAATAATTGAAAAAAAAACAAAAAAAAAACACAGATGATGAGATTCCCTATATTGATGTGATGGTATGCTTTGGATGCTATGCTATGCTATGCTATTCTTACTCTGCACTCAGCTACTCTGTCTTTTTTAACACTGCTGTCAATCCATTCTGGTGTCTGTTCTCAGATGTGGGTCACATTCCTGTTTTTAGGTTGTGAACCATGTCCTAAAATAGACAAAAATCTGATATGAGCAGCAGTTCTGACTGGAGCTGCAATGTGAATGAAGCCTTTAAGGCCTGGATGGAGCAGTCACCAAATATAATATCCATGAATACAAATTTAATGCCTGTGAACACCAAAGTCCTAATTGCTGTTGTCATTCATTAAATCAAACCCCAACATATAGCTTTGATCCTGATCCTATTTGCTGCTTCATGCCTAATTGTCTTAATAACATAATCTGGGCTGTGGGCTCTGTGTGCAGCCTTTTTGGAGCTCCGCCAGTTGAGGCAAGTCATAAATTATATCTGAGTGTTACTTTACAGTAACTCATAATTGCCTACGCTGAGTAAGGGCTCGACTAGTGTTACTTCTGGTTTGGTGGAGGTGACTGTAGACAGCTGCAAGAACATAGAAGTCAAACACTGAAACAAAATTGGCTTCAGACTGCAGGAAGGGACATAGATTGTACCTCTTAAAAATTAGTAGCGGTATCAAAAGTGGTCCTTACCCAGGTTTTTAAGAAGAGACAAAGGCAGAATGATTCCGATTGACACAAACACCACCAGGTAGTTCCCGTTCAGGTACCATTCACTGCAGAGAGGTTAAAATCAGGTCAGAGCCTGCACTGTATAAGCTGTACACACACACACACACATTTACACACACAAACACGTTTATTGTCGAAAGGACACACACTCACCCAGAGCTTTCTTCTAAAGCCAAGAAGGATCGGATCACTTCAGGCAGCTCATACTTCACGATAAAGAGGTAGCTGGACATGGCTGCAGGACAGAGGACATGACTGTTTTAGCTACATTTTGTATGAGTACAATTTTAGCAATTGTATTAAATTGCAGTAAACCACTGTCAAATCAACACATGAAATCACTGCATACCTCCAATATTCTGCATTATTATCGATACAAATGCGGCTACTTTCCCCGGCCAACCGAATGCTCTCTCTCCCAGCTTTTCATAGATGAGGGATCCTGTCAGAACAGACAAGTTGGTGGAGAATTAGCCGTGGAAAACAATCCAGGTATCAGACAGAAGCAGAGACAATAGGACTAACTGTAAAAAAGCACCAGGTGTATTTTATACCCTCGACTTTGCAGTTTCTACTTTGTGCATTTGAGGATTTACTTTGGTTGATGTGGAGGAGCCAACAACTCTTTAAGGACTTTAGAGCTTATGACTATGAGTAACATTTGTAAAAATACATCTATCCATTCAGCTACTTCTGCTCATCTTTTCCTGCCTTTCAAATAATAAAACTGTTGCATGAGTCAGTGCATGAAATTAAAAACAAACGTTGGAGAAAAGTAAACATGGTTTGGTGCAGCCGAATCTTTCTGTATTTCCAGGTAATTAGCTCACGGCCCTTTATTTTCACCTTGTGACCCTTTCGGGGGCCCCAACCCCAGGGTCCATAATTAACTTTTTTCCTCTGTGCAGTTTGGTATTAAAACATATATACAGTCTACTTGAAACAATAATGTGTGTTTGATATATTTTCCACTTTAAAATCCTGAAAAAGCCTGAAATTAACTGAATACCAACCTCCTTCTTTAGCTGTCATGAGGAGCAGATGTACAGAATATAGGGAGAGGATGGCCACAGCGACGAGGAGGATTCTGCAAGAAGAAGGAAAGCAAAAGGTCAGCGATCAGTGCAAAACTGAGACAAAAACTGAGAAAAGAAGGAAGAGAGGGGTCTGGACAGGTATAATATGAGGGATAGTATATGCAGTTAGACACAGGAAGTCTCTGTGGACATTCACACTTGAATTTTTTCTCTGGAAAAAGAACATGAAAGTAGCTGTAAGATGCTGCTGCTGTGTGTTTGGGAGGGCTTGTCTCAGGAGACGAGGTGTGATTTCAACATGACTTCTACATAGCATGACCAGTGCAGTATCACGTCAATGCTACGTCAATGCATCAATCAGTTGCATTCTTCAGATAGCAACAGTGTGGAACAATGGAAGGACTGGGACAGGGCTTTACTTTTACGGCTTCCTGCAATCTTTAGACAGGAAGATGGTATTTGTGCTGGTAGAAGGAATGTGTGTGTTACCTCTGCTGTCAGGAGATGGCAGGAGTTCATTATTATTATACCCTTTCTGCTATCATTTTCCAGCTGCAATATTCCTCTACTCCACTGACTTACTCCACTCAGCTTTGGAGGAGTGACACCGTCTATGTTTTAGCTCTCTTGTTCCCCTGTATCATCGCCAGCTCATGAGGCGGCCACGCAGCAGGAGGGTGGATAGCAGACAGAGGTGGGGGCTGCATGGATGGGATTGAGGAGTGTAGGATGACAGAGGGGTGTCAAATATTGTATGTCACCCATGAATGCTGATAATAATTATGCACGGGACAGACAGCGCTGGATGAAAGGAACTGAGGGCACATGGTGTACAGGGAGTTCAAACATCTCCACGTTGTTGAGCTGCTCTTCAGGTGGTAATGTGATGATAATTTATATTTTTATAAGAGTTTATACTGAAATGTCTCAACAACTATTTGATTAAATTAAGTACTTTACTGTACAAGTGGCCTTTATGTACACATTTACATGACATTCTTCCCTCCATGTTCCACCCAGTGAGGTTAACCAACCTCATTATCTGTGTGCAGGAAATGTTCATAGAGTGTATTTCTTGTAAACCCCATCATGACATTCCTGTCAGTTAAATTGCTCTATAATTAAACTTGAAAAGACATCCACTTGTGGATGACAGTGGAACTGAAACCAGTGTCAGGCAAGTACAACTGGAGATCATTTAAGGATAAAGGTGCCAATAATTCTGACAAAAACCTTGAGGATAAATACAACCTAGCTATTATTTTTTTTAATGCAGAGAAAAAGAAAGAGCAAAGTTTTAAAGAAATATTAAATTATATCAATATCTACTCTTTGTTTAAATACGTCTCTGTAATTGTAGAATGTAGTAGTAACTACCTGCCTATCCTGTCATGCCATTTCACACCCAGACATGCATGCTGTCAGGTTTCCTTGTTTTGCCTGCTGCAGTACTTACGTAAAGAGCACGATGCCAGTGTTCGCCATGGCGAAGGACAGGCCCAGGATGCCGCTGCCCATGATGGCGTTGCTCAAGTTGAAGACAGACATCCCGAAGGAGGTGTGGCCGGGATGCTGCTCAGAGAGAAAAGACAGAAGAGAGATCTGTATGAGGAAAACAGACAACTGATGACAAATGATAACCTTCTAAAGTATTTACTCTGCATTGTAACAGGGAGAGCAAACATTTGGCAGTGCTGCAGTGAAGCCCACAAGCCTTTAATGCCATTGGTAAATCCCCCACACGCTGTAATTCAAGGAAAACACACCCTCACCTTCTCCTGCACTGTTAGACACCAATTGTTTCGTGTGTTTCCAGTAGTTATTAAGTTTTATTGATTGGACCCATTCTCGCTCCAACTCCTACCTGCCAACATTTCCCAGAATATGAGTGGTGCTACTGGAAAAGTTCATGTGAACAATAAGCAGTGCCATTTGCTATGTGTGTTGCAGAGCACATATTTTTTGATTTACTAACATACTCCTACCCTCAGCCTCAGGCACTCACGAGCCCCATCATGTGGTAGGCCCCCACAGTTTTAATTACAGGTAGTAAGTACTGACAGTAGTTTACTACCTGTCAGAGGATATCAAATTCATTTTGAGTATACTGTCGACCATGAGAGCTTCCAGTTGACACAGAGAAAGTGTCCTTTAGTCAAAACTCAACATGTCTTCCAGCTGTGTTGCATTCTGGCCCATTCCCATGTAGGATTATTGGACCTAGGCACAAAATGGAAATTCTAGAAAGAATCTTGCTCTGAGATCCTAAGGAACTGACAATAATCAATATGACACATTTTTCTTGCAAAGTTTGAAGAGTGTGTGCGCGTCATAAATATTAACTAATAAGCTTGGGTAACTTGCCTCGTGCTCAGCAAATGGTATGACATATTTGTACATCTTTTTCTGATATTAACTGCCTGCTTCAGTTGTTCTTGGTATTAATGTGCCGTTCAAACCTGCAGAACAGTGCATTAAATCAAACCATTTACTACATTACTACATTAGTGCTGTGACTTGTGAATCCTCTTACATATTCTTCATGGTATTCCTCATATTTCTTCTTCTTCATCATCCCATTTGACAGGAACTTCTGGCTTTCTGCGTCATCGTTGTCATCCAGAAACTGACTGCAAGACCAAAAAAACTAAGATTAACATAAAAAAGTATTAAAGCTTTATATTATTCTATGCAAACATTGTGGCAGTAACAGAAGATGTCAGCTGGTGACAGTTTTGATCAGCTGACCTGTCAGTGCTGGTTATTTAAGTTGGGTGGATGTGTTGGGTGCTTGATTTACTTAAGATGTGTGTGAAAATGGTGGTCAGCACATCCTTATCAATCAACTACCCTAATAACTTAATTAATTATTGAGTTAATGCCCAAAGTCTCCAACTGGATAAGTAACATAATTAATTAACACTTGTTAGCCCCAAATACCTATCATTGACAAATTAAACATGTTAATGCGGACAACCGTCTGCGCTTTGGTCTGGCCAAATGACCGTTCACACCCTAACATGTTTACATGCACATAATTAACCAGGTTACTGAAAGAAGTCTGTAATAAGATCCCTCCCCTAGACTTGCTGAGAAATTAGGCTTTTACTGTTGAACCCTTGCTGCATTAACTGGGTTTCTCTTTACATAATGTTAAGCACACCTCAAGTCCCTAACAAAGCTGCATGTCATATGATTGCTGGTGTCTGCAAATTTGGGGAAGGAAATACATGACATTGTGGTTGCCGACCTGTCGATGGTGGCCTTCTCAGAGTCAATGGGCTCTGGGAAGTGGCCATCCAGGCTCTCTGTGCTGTCATCATCAGCATCTGTGGACACTTTCCTCAGCTCCATACGTTCCACAATTCCCGGCATAATGGCAACGAGAGGCGAAGAAGTTCTCAGGGTTTATAGTTCACAAGGCAGAGATGTGCTTCTTCTTCAACCTCGGCTGGACTTTGTTACCTCTAAGAAAAGACCTAAAATAAAACACAGGACACGTTAGAGGAAGGTTCCGAAGATGTCTGTTCAGATGTTCAACAACAGTGGCTGCTTGCCTAAGTCTTAAAAATTCACCAACACTCAAGTTCACCACAGGAATGCCAATTTTCAGCTGACTACAGGCCTGCAGAAGCATGCATTATCTGGCCGTATCGGCCTCCACGGAGCTCTATGGTCTTGATGAAGAACACTTTAGAGTAAAATAGGGCCCTCTACCCTGCCAACGAGTCCATCCCACTTCCAGGAACTGAAGGACTGTTTGTTATGTTACCTTGAAGAGAAAAGTTAGGAGATGATGCAACCTTGAAGCCTCATACAGCTTCACCAACACTAGCAAGGCTGAAGTCCTGTTTGCTTTCATGCTATTTCCATCTCACACCAGCTGGATTTGTGGTATTAACAACTATATTTTGTTTATAATGGCTGTAAAATGCTGTATATTAAAATACAAAATTATGTCACACTTCAGTGTTCTATCTTTAGAAAGATATAACAGTCCAGCGTGACGTTCATACAGATTGCTGCTTGGAGTTAAGTCAACAAACCCTGAAACCAGGTCATGGATGCAACGAGTTCATGAGGCTGCCTGACCGCCACCATCAACAGGCCGCCTTGTTCATGCGCAAGCTGGTTTTCTCAGCCTCACCCACTACCATTTGAAGAAAATAAGCCAACAGCGCCGCCCAGGGGGACACGCTTAAATTTTCCATCTGTAGCATTAATCATTAGGTTATGTAAGGAGGAGATAAAAGACAGTGAACAAAGCCGGTGATTATAAATTATAAATGCTACTAACAGCCAAATTATTAACAGCGCTGTTTGTCGCTCACACAAAGAGCTCTTTGATTGGTTGGAAGGACGGATCCCAAGTGCTAATCGCAGACAAACAACGCAGGGAAAACACAAACAATGGCAACAATTACCACAACAACAGAGGCCCTTACACACGATGAGGGACACACAAGCACAATTTAATGTTCTACTCCAAAGTCAAGTTTTCCTGATTTGGGATATACATTTATTCACCCTCTTGCCGACACTTGTAGGATAAGATTGATACAGATCGCATATCTGTCCATTTAATATAAAGCCGGAGCCTGCAACAATTAGTTTAGCTTAGCATAAGCATACAGGTGGAAAAAGCTAGTCAGGCTTATTCCAAAGATTAGAGGTGCTGTTTCCCCCGGTATCCAGTCTTTATGCTAAACTATGCTAAGCTAGCTTCACATTTAGGAAAAGGGGGAATGAAATGCAGAAAAAAAAGAAAAAAGAACATTTTAACCTGGGCCGGTAGGGACTTACCCTTGGTACATGGGGAGCAAACTTGCCCAAGCGCCCCAACGTTTAATATGTTAACACAATATGTTATTTGAATAAGTGAGCTGAGGCATGATGGGGTGGGTCTTTAAATTTGAAATAATTTTAAATTTTAAATTTTAAAGCTATTTGGGGGAACAGAAAGAAGTTGTAAAGTAGGGTTGGGAATCTTTGGCAATCTCACAACTCCATTCTGCATGCTGGTGTCACGATTCAGTTCAGTACTAATCTTGATTCAATAAAAAACAAAAAGGGGGCACCATACTTTGGCTCTTACTCCGTGTGGTAAACCACTGACTCTTAAACCAACCCTTTGCCCACTGAACTGCAAATAAAACAGAACTGACAGAGAAAAAACAGACTATTCATGTTATCTTTGGACGTTATTTATTCAAGCTAAATGCATTAACTTGGAAGTATATAATACTCTTCTTCCTGTTTGAAAAAAATAAATAGATAATCAGCTGGCATAACCCACCAATGGATGGCTTGTTACACAACAGTTTCTACTGACGGAAGTGGTTTAGCAGCAAGATCTTTGCATCACAATGTGTAAAGGCTGTTTATAGTCAAGTCAAGTTTTCTGTATTGTAACAAGGTCAGCTGCACACTATGGCAGAGATATTAAACCTCTCCACCATGACCCTACCTGGCTTGTGCAGTTTGATCCAGAAGACCAGATGTTGTTGTTGTGCTGTTGTTTTCCCTGTGATCTTGCTTTTCGGAAGTAGGCTGCTTTAAAACGTGATATCTTTGAGCCAACAGAGATTAAGCGGCTACATTACCATTAACAACCACATCACACACAACAGTACATCTAATCTCTCAGTGTCGCTCTCTGCTGTGTGGCGAGAGAGAAACGGAGAGCAGTTTTACTTTTCATTGCCAAGAGGATTAACCTGTCTGACTTAGTTAACTTCACACGTTGCCGAGTTTAATGCTGCCGTTGTTACAACCATAACACTGCAGAAGCACACGTTTGGCAGTGTGCCATGTAGGAAGCTCAGACAGGGTATCGGACTCCCACAGCTGAAACTGACTGCAGTTCACACCTACAATTAACATAATGTGTGTAAAATGCATCTTGAGTTACCACTAGTTGCTGAAACGTGTTTTCCTGCTCACATTTGATTGAATTCTCCCAAACAGAAGAAACCAGTTTGCACATGGTCGTTCAGTTGTACGAGAAGACAGCTGAAACCATTTGCATGCTGGATTAAACCACATACAGAAACACAACATGCTAATGAAGCAGCTAGAGACATACCAGAGACAAAAGATAAAGTGTTAATGTTGTAAATGCATCCCTGAGCACTACTGAGATTGACCTGGGCGTTTAGGTCCCATTGTGCTCAGGGTGTCCTGGGATGTCTTGACACTTGTGTTTACAGCTGTTCATTTTAATGCTAAGTGAGAACCAGACCACACACTGGCCATCACACACCCTTACACTTCTAAAGCTTGGTCATGATTAAACAAATTCATTCAACTTCTCACAGCAATACTGTAAAAAAAAACATCATAGTCTGTTGAAAGTGTTGCTGGTTTGAAAGCAGAAGCAAGCACGAATGGTGACTTGTGAAATTAGAAAACAGGAAAACACAAGCAAATCAAACTTATGAGTAATAGCACTTCCTGCTGTTTTGGAGCTTCACCGAGTAATCATTTAAGATTGGCAAGCACACATTACTGAATTATGTTCTGAGTCATCAAGTTTAATGCCAAAAGATCACACAACTTAAGCTTGAATTGGAGATCAAGGGCCCCGTCTGCAGCTCTTCCTATAGCCTATAGTTTCTGTGTGGTAAGATCAAACTAAGATCAAATGCAGTGAAACGGAAAAGCTGAAAATGCCAGAAAAAAAGACACCGATTTGCTCTCAACTCCTAAGCTTTGGCATAGTTTCAAAACAAGCTTTCAGAAGATATATCAGATCCTTTTGTCCAAAAGATCCGTTTCAAACTTGTCTCCACTCTTAAAACACTCCAACTACCTCATACATCCTCCACCCAAACAAACTCTTGCATCAGCCACCACCTTCAAGCAAAATTCTTTCCACGCTGTGGAAACCCTGCTCTGCTGTACGTGACAGTAAAAGCAACAGTGCGTTCCTTGAACACAAGTTAAAGGGCTTTTGCCGCAGAAAAATTTAAATTTTCATAAGAATGTCCTTTTTTCAACTCCATTAAACTTATTGCAACTTTTGTATATCAATAGACTTATTTTCATGCAACATATGAACAAAAATTTTCAAGCAAAGCAGGCATACTCACTCAATCAAAAGTTCCTTAAAGCGGGTCCCAAGATTGTTCCTTTTAATTTCTTTTGCAATCAATGTATTTGCAAAACAGATAATAGACAAGTGAGTGGGTGAGGAGCTTCAGCTCTTTTGTAACTCAGGTGAGAATGCAAGCTTTTAAAAGGGAGGAGGGAGGGCCTCTGTCGGCCAATGAGGACGGACAGGGTTTACACTCAGACCCCTCCTTCTTTGAGCACGGTCTAAGTACCAGCGCAACCCCCCCGATACACATACATGACATACACACATGTTTGCCTTAAAAGAAATGAAAGAAAAAAAAGAAAACTAAAGCAGGGACAGAAGGAGAATTTGGAAGAACACAAAAAAAGCAGGTAAAAAAGTATAAACACTTTAATAGAAAGTCTAAAACCTGATAGCTAGACAGATAGACAGACAGAGAGACAGACAGACAGACAGACAGACAGACAGATAGTAAAGTTGTCAGACGGCTTGTCACAATCACACTGTAGGCACCAGACTGGACCAACGTTGTTAAATACCATGGTCCCTTCAAGATGTGATCACATGACATGCCACATGACCACGACCATCCAGTTTTACACTATTAACAAAATTATACAAGCCAAACTCATTTGGACAAATGACAGGCCAAGGTCGGAGAGAGCTGCTGGTTGACCATGGCTGGACGGGAGCACTTATCACACACACACACACACACACACACACACACCTCCCACACTTAAAACAACTGAGTCTGTCTTCACTGCACTGCCTCTTCTGTACCCACAAACACACTTTTGTTTGCACATGCAGCAGAACACATGTAGATGCCCAGAAGCGTCATGGGTAACTGTTAGTGGTTTCGAGGTAGGCTGTGCCACCGGGCGACCAATCAGAGGACGGTGTTGGTGATGTCGCTGTGCCCAAGGTCGTGTTCGTGTCGGGGATGAAGTTTTATCTCTGTCCACTTTGTAATGCGGTCCAAAATGAGGGACACATGCACGGCATGTGAGAACCAAACTGCAACAGTCTTTTTACTCAAATCATCTGTTGAAAAGTTTTGGACAGTGAGCAGCATAGAAACTTTGAAATCTACTGAGTGAAAACTTTCTATGTGTAAAAACGCTACTTGTTAATGAATAAAGACAAAACTTTTTGATTTGAACTGAAACTGATTTTATCTACTTGGTTTTGGAAAAGTTTCAATGTGGGTTGAATACATACAAAGGAATGTGTCTGTAACAGGCTGAAAATTATAGTTCCTGTTACCCCAGAACACAAAACACAACAGTCTGTAGCACTCTCACTTTCAGTCACAATAAGTATGGGTATATCGAGGGCAATTATTTACATGAAAGCCTTTTTGCGCCTCAGTAATGTGGAAATGATGGGCATTAAACTTTTAATTTCTTTAGCTCAATTATTCAAATGGGTTAA